CGACCCCACAGCTATTATATCGTGTTTAGACGATTTGTTACCTAATAGTTCGTTAACTATAAATTAGATTTAGCATGTGCCTACAATTCACCCGCTTTTAGTATAATAAATTTTTTAAGATTATATTTTTAATGAATTGTAATTTTTAATTAAATACGTGAAATTAATATTGCTTATTTAAAAATAATATCTGCTTGAATAAAATTAAAAACTTTATATTTTATAATCTTTTATTAATACTGTATTTAAATTTTAAAATGATTCTCAATTGAGTCTTGTTTTCTTAAAACTAAATCTTGTTTTTAATTCATTCAATCATTTTTTAATGCAAGCAAATGTGTTTCATGTTGTTTATGTTTATTATACATTATATCAATATTTCTATACAGTATTTTCAATGTCATTAATCAATAGAAAGTTGTTTTTCCAAAACGTAAGATTAAATCAAATCAAATGCTTTGATATATTTAAAAGAATTTCCCAATTTTTCCAAAAATAGTTTAAAGATTTTATGATAAAAATTATTTTAATAAATTGGTTTTTACATAATTAGTTGTGAAATAGCATTTTTTAAATAAACAATATGATTTAATTTGTAAATATTTTTAGAAAATTGTATAAAGATAATAAATACTGCATTTTCAAGGACATACAGTATTTATAAAATCTAGCTATAATTGACAAGTTACAAAGTGTACAATAATTTAAGCATTATTCTTTATTAACTTAAAAATATTTCACAAATCTTTCGCAATTATCTTGTTTTTAAAAATAAAAAAATTGATAAATATTTACGACAAATTGACTAAAATATGTTATATTGTTTATTAAGTTATAAAATAATTGATATAACTCTTAAAATAACAAAAACAAAATTCACTGAAAAAATGGTATATAAGGAGGGATTAAATAATCCAAAAAATAAAAAACAAGCAATACTTCATTAATCCAATATATCCTACGATATAAATTGTAAGTAAACTAAATGCTAAATTCCTAACAAATTATAAACACTATGTTTAATCCAATGTTATTTTATTTTTTCACCCAGGTACTCAAAACACGAAAATGAATGCACTATTAAAAGTGGTAATGGTTTCGGTGGCCATTCACTGCCTATACGTGACGGCTGTGTCGGGCCAAACCACAACGGGTTGCCAGGGTCAATTACAAGTATGCGTCGACGCGTTGGGCCTTTTGAATGTCAACTCTCTGTTGGGTTTACTCCGCAATGTTCTCAACCCTACCACTGGAATCAACTGTACGGCGGCTGTCGGCAGCTTACTAAGCACCCGGTGCGCGGGTCTGAGCGCCTCGTGTGGCACCGACTTTATCTCCTGCATAGCGCCCACACTGTGTCAGAGCATTACACTGCCGAATGTCGGCAGTAATCCTCTGTCGTTGTTGACGAATATACTGACACTCATCACCAGTTTGTTGAGTGGAGTGGTGGCCGCACTCACGCCTCTCATCACATCAGCCACTATACCCTGTTTGGGATCACTCCTTGGGTAGTCATCGCTACCGATAAATAATCGACATTTATCGTTATTTTTTTAATTTTTGAGATTTTAATATAAAGATTTATAATAATTGTAATATTAATTGTAATTTGTCGATTAATGATATTTCAAAGAAAATTATATTCAAAATTATTAAAATGATATTTGCATTAAAACTATCACTTTTATAAAATTTTCTAATTTTTCAGAGATAGAGAGAGAGAGAAAGAAAGAAAGAAAGAGAAAGAGAAAGAGAGAGAGAGAGAGAGAGAGAGAGAGAGCAAGCAGTACTCACTATTA